TAGATGGGTTCCTTTTACAGAGCTGTCTCTTTAATACTTTTCGTATGGACTAAATTTATGTGAAGCTTTTTTATTGGTTACAGGTAAATCATTAGGAGAGTAAACCAGTGTAAAGCAGCATAAATAACTGGATCACAGTAAGGGAGAAATGTATTCTGTTTTGAAGTTACAGTTACTCCTGAGGACCAGTTTTTAAATAGAAGTGTAAAGCTGAATATATGTTTTTATGTTGTCTTTTGGAAGTGTGTTTGGAAATAAAACCAGAAGTTCTCTAATCTACATGTAGTTGTGAAACACCAGTAGGTAGTAACCGTATCTATATGCATTTTTTTCTGTGCTCGGATGACTGACTGCTTGAAAAAGGATGTCCTGGATATTTCTGGGGAGATTACTAGTAAAACTAGTGTGCTATTAGGCAACCTATTTTTCTTCTCCATGTTATTAGGATGTTTACTTGGCACCCAAAAACAAGTCACCTGGTTCATATGTCTGAAAAGCGACTAAAACTATGTGGTGTTTTTCTGATTGTATGGTATATGGGAGAAATGGCAGGTTGTTAATAGATTTTTTTTTTCATCATCTCCAGCATGGGAGATTGTGTAGTGGAGACCACATCTTGAAAATTGGTGATACGGACCTGGCTGGAATGAGCAGTGAGCAGGTAGCACAAGTTCTGAGGCAGTGTGGAAATCGAGTGAAACTGGTAATTGCAAGAGGTCCTATTGAGGAGCCGCCTCCACCAACAGTCCCTCCAGGTACACCAGTACCCATGTCCACACCAGAGAAACAGGTAGGTAACAGTGAATATACTTAACTCATAGCAAACTTTTACTTTGAAATTCCTTTTCTTTTAACTGCTATTTGAATGTCTTTCACGCTTATGTTCTCAAAAGCCAGGATTTTCTTTCCCAGCTTTCTCATCTGGTGGTCTGGGAGAATTTAAATGTTGAGTCCACAATGCAAGGAACTATATGCTTGAAAACTTTTGGGATCAAGGCTTAGGACTTCCATAAGTATGATCTGGATAACTTCTGGTTCTGGGTTGCTAGTGATTGTGCAGTAAGACATTGGGAACCACTGAAGCCAATGCAGTCTTTTCTTCAGACAGAGCAAGGTGTAGCATTTCTCTGTCCACCTGTCCTTTTCCTCTCTAGGAACATTTCTTATTTCCATATCATTGCAGCCATCCATCAGACGGTTCCTCCCTGTGCCAGCCAGCACACAGATGCTGCTTCTTTCCTACATTACCTGGCATTGCTCATTTACTAGACATCTTCCAAAACAAGTCAGCCAGCTGCTACCCTTATTCCCCTGCTGATGATTGTGCTCTTTGTGCTGTTACTCCTCTACAGCCGTCAGCCACTTAAAAAATGGTGTAATCATGTCCTGCCAGCTCCAGACCTCTACAAAATAGGTCATTTGCATGTTTGCAGCAAAGCCTGGTTTCATGGGAGCCAGGAACAGTAGTGTTTTGTCACATACAGGTATGACCGGATACATTTAAATGTGCATACGTGGAGTAAGTGAATGAGAGAAAAAAAAGGTGGTTGTTTTTGAGCCTACAACTAGGTTGAATTTATGCCTTACAAAGAATTTTAATGTTTTACTTTTTCCTGTTCTTTTTCTAGACATTTTGTTCATAATTACAAATTACATTTTAGATGGATCAGTTCAGAAGGAAAAAAGCCTTAACAATTTTTGCACGATTACCATTATTTTGCCTCTGTCCATTGTAGTGGTATCTGTGGAAAACAAACTATATTCATCCCCCCTTTTGTGGCTATAGGGCAGATAAAGTTAATCTTAACATGGAGTCTTCTGAGCATCTATGAGGAGAGACAGACTGATACTTCTGTGTCTCTACAACACTCAGAGGCCTGAAAACCTGGCTGTATTTTAGATAAAGGAATCAATATTTAGCCTGAATGTTATTTATCAGAAAAGCAGCAGTCTCAAAAGAGAAGCTGAATTTGATAATTTCATCTGTGTATATTTCTTCAGTATTTGCCTTTCTGGGGTTGTATGATGCAGTGTTGAAGGCCGTATCTACAGCTGCAGGATGTATGGAGATTTCTAGTACCGAGGAGATAGCTCGAAGCCACTAAGTGGCGAAATTTGACTTTTTTGCTGCCTTTCTCTCCATTTCCATCCTTTTCAATACCTTGTTCCTGGTACATCTCTCCTGGCAGGAGGCAGGCTATTTTTAAACTGCTTCTTCCTGCACCAAATCTTGTTCTTGGAGAGAGGACCCGGTTAATGGTGCTGCAAACCTCATTAATTCGGGTCTGGAGTGAAGATGATGATGGAAACAGCTTTGTTTGTCTATTTCTTCCTGGCAAATACAGGGTGGGTGAAGAGTTTATGATGCTTTTAAAGCTGTTAGTGAGAGCAGAATGGCTTTCCAAAATGGGCACTTCTCATCATGTCCCCTGTAGATGTCTATCTTGTAAAAAATTCATGAGGTTATGGAAATTGGAGCAATTTTTTAGTGGTATTACCTGTGGCCAAAATAATCTTGTATTATCAAGCAGAGAGGTAATTAAAGCAGTAGAAATATATTTTTCTTGTGTTTGATTGCGGTTTTGGGTGGAGTTGTTCAGATAAAGAGCTGAAGTCAGATTCTCTTTTGGCAAGTAGCATCATAACTCTCCTGAAGTCATCTTTTTTTGGCACATGCATACTCATCTAGTCAAACTGGGTTTAGTTAGTATCTGCCTGGTTGCTCTACTGGCAACTTTAAAAAATATTAGCTGCTATTTGTCATGCAGAAGAGACAGAATAAAAAAGGACTATAGCAGGATCTTGATAGATTTGTACTATACTTATGAATTCCCATTTTAAATACCTGCATAGATATTGATGTCCATATAAATACAATGAAATTGAAGGCTTATCTATCTAATCATATACTGATTTATATCAGCTATGGAAGTGGCTAGTAAGTATCGTTTTAGACAGCTGAAAGGTGAAAAATTTAAAAAAAAAACTTTTTAAAAGTTAAGTTAATAGGTTGATTCTTTTTTTTTTTTTTAATAAGAAACCTATATTGTTGGAATGGGATTTTAATATGTATTGTACTTTCATTAACAATAAATAAATGAATTCATTACCCCAAGAATTTTTTGTTACTGAAATTCAGAGGGTTGTAGTAGGTGTTAGTGGAGATTGTCATTATTTAACTAGCTGGAAGTATAATTGCTACTTTCCAAAACAGAATTTTTAAGTCTTTCAAAAACAAGAAACATAATTGCCTCAGTAGAAATAGCTTTTATTATGCTTTAAACTTGGCATGCATAGGAAAAAATAGCTATAGTTATTGAACAGGAATTTAAACAAGTAGAATACAAAATATAATTTTGATCTTTTTTTCTTCTTTTAAATAACACATCAGTCTAAACCTGGTTCTGAGAAGGTCCCAGAAGGGCAGCAAGCTCAGGCGTGGTTTGTGTAACTTACTGTACAAGAGGTTCGTTGTTCAATTTGTACAAATTTCACCAGTCATTTTAGTTATCAAATAATGATTTTATAGGTTAGAGGGTAATATCCCAGGGGCAGTGGGATGGGGAGGCCATGACCTGCATTACATTACAGTGAGGAATGCTACCTATGTCTAGTTTCTTTGCTGAATACCAAATAAGAGCAGAAGCAAACTTGGTACTTTCTTTTTACATTTGTGTCTAATTTTACATGTTAATGACATCAAAGAATGTGGTGGATCTTTAAATGAAAAAAAGCTTCCTTTCTAATCACGCTTTTCTCATTAGGTAGATGCTTCTGTTGATAGCTGTGGTGATGGGGAGAAATTCAATGTTGAACTTACTAAGAACAACCAGGGATTAGGAATAACTATTGCTGGTTACATTGGAGACAAAACGTCAGGTAATCATCGATTCCTGCAGTTTACTATACAATCTGTTGCATACTATGGTGTTTGTGCATCGAAGACTTAAGTTTAGTTTTGGTATAGTATCTCTAAGAAAAACCTTGACCATCTAAAATCTTTTTAAAATTTGTAAAGAAAAAGGAATTGTTTTCCTTTTGTGAGAAGAACATTGAGATTAGAAGCAATCAGTTTTATTATAAAATCCCACCTCAGCATTTTTTAATCAATTTTTATATTCAGTCTTGGCTAAAGCTTGTGCTTATATGTTTTTGCAAACCAATTCTAAAATAGATTGAACCATTTTTCTTAGAACTGGCTGGGCTTTTTAAATTACATTTTCATTTTGAAAAGGCTCTTACGAGATAATTCATTAGTATTCTGAGTAGTTTTAGGAGGTGGTGTTATTTCTTAAACAATTCGTGTAGTACTGCTGGCAGATCAAGTGTTCTGTGGCTTCCGGATATAATAAATGTTTGTTGACCTCTGGGCTGTTGCAGCCAATAAATAAGTTAATTTAACTAAATAAATGCAACAGTGTTCATGTACAGTTGTGTATTTTTACTTTGTAATTTCCACTATGTTTTTCAGAAAAATGATCCAGAACTCTGTTAGGCCTCCCTAGGGGGGATTTGGCAAGTGCAATACTACTAGGAAGGGATGGTTGTCGAATGCGTTGTAAAAGTTCCCCAAGAGCTGTTCATTGACTTTTACCCATGTATATATTATTAGAAGAATGTATGGACAGATATATCCCAGGTTATTGTCAGTTTATAGGCATAATTTGTTGGCTTTGAGAAGCTGGACTAAATTTTAACAATCTGTTACATAGGACAGGATGGTCACAGTTTGTAAGTCCGCTCTTTAGCAGCTTCCAGTTGAATCTTTAAATGGCAAATTAAATTGTAGAACACATCATAGATCTGATAGCATATTTTAACTGATTTAGTGTTGGCATATCACCAGTCTTCTATTTTAAATTACTGTGCTGCATGTAACTGCATTAGAAAATATATTTGCCTTAGGAACTAATTGGGCATCTCACTTAATTTGGTGACTTAACACTTCGTTACAGAACAGGTTTGCTGTCAGAGAAGCAGCAATAAAACTACTGGACAGCAAGATCTGCAGCTGAATCTTTCATGAATGACAAGTAGCAGCTTGTCGTGTTACCATACAGCTGTTACAGGATATAAAAACTCTTGGAAGTTAGTAAAAGCAGCCATTTAATTATTCACAAAACCTGGTGTGCTGGTTTTGGCTGGGGTAGACTTCATTTTCTTTTGTAGCTAGTATGAGACTTACTTTGGACTTGTGCTGGAAACAGTGTTGCTAGTACAGGGGTGTTTTCATTATTGCTGAGCAGTGCTTACACAGAGTCGAGGCCTTTTCTGCTTCTCACCCCACCCTCCCAGTGAGCAGGCTGGGGGTGCACAAGAAGCTGGGAGGGGA